GTGTTAAAAAAATACACAGGTTTCTTAGAAAAAGAGTTGAGAAAATAAAAATGCCTTCCTCTCACCTTGGATGAAAATTCTTCCATCATACAGGAACAAATAATTCCAATCTGACTTGTGAATATGGATTACAGAGTGAAAGGCAATGAAATTGATGTTAGAGGCCATTTGCTCTGGAACAGCCATAGCTGGAGTCCATTTGTAAATCCTGCTATGGAATAAGCAGTTTCATCTCTAGGAAACAAAACAAAAATTCCCATGATTCTCCATGACCTTTCCCTGGTAATCCTTCTGATCAAAAAAAGCCTTCAGCCAACCTATCTCAGCCTATTCCCTTCTCACAAGCCACAGATGTTTTCTCAGTGAGCAGGAATTGAAACCCCTAAGCAGAAGTAGATTATCGGAATAATGGTTGAAGAGAGGTGTAGGAGGGGGCTCTGATAACAGCAGCCATTGCCATCCTAAAACAATCCAGAAATCTCCTGTAATCACCTGTCCTCCTCCCCTCCATCATCCTTCTCTGTTCTAACACAGGCTCCTGCCACTGTTTTTACATGAAACACACACACAGAGTCTGACAGCTCTGAGCTTCCTTCCCTGCCCTTTCCCGTGGGGAAGCCAGTGCGTGATGAGAGGAGGGGAACCTGGCTAAGCACCACCCTCATAAACTATCCCAGAAATTAGATCACCAAAAGTTCTTGACCAGAGTATTCTGCACTACAATAGCCTCTTGAGGAATGGCTACTAAATGGATTAAAAGCAATAGCTAGGAGCTGGCCAAATCCCGGTAATTTGAGCACCAAAATTATTAAGGAAAAGGGCTTCCCTGGTGGCGCAATGGCTGGGAGTCCGCCTGCCGATGCAGGGAACACGGGTTCGTGCCCTGGTCTGGGAAGATCCCACATGCCGCGGAGCGGCTGGGCCCGTGAGCCATGGCTGCTGAGCCTGCGCGTCCGGAGCCTGTGCTCTGCAACGGGAGAGGCCACAACAGTGAGAGGCCTGCGTACCGCAAAAAAATAAATAAATAAATAAATAAATAAAATAAAAATTATTAAGGACAGTTATGAGCCACTGAAAAAATAGGAAGTCATAAGTCCACAGTGATACCAAGTAGGTAAAGAAATAATGAGAGAGAAGGGAGGGCCTTTGCTTACAACAGAATACCATGTGCTGACTGGTAAATATGAAGGGAATGCTGGAGTTGGAAAATCATCATTTTGTAGATTGGTTCAGGCAAGAATTACCAATAGATGCTAAATCTAGGGGGAAATGTTTGGTGAGGAGTAGGATATTTGCATGGACTTATACTTTCTCCTCACAGATTGTTTACTAGTAGCAAAGAAGGGGAAAAAACAGTGATTATATAGTGCAGACACTGGGCAACACCTTGACCCAAAATGAGAACAGTCTATTTTTTAAATGGGACTTCAAAAATATCAATGTCATGGAAAGACGAAGAAAGGCTGTTTCAGATTAAAGGAGACTAAAGAAACAGGACACAATGGGTGATCCTAGAGCCAATCTTATATGACAAGAAAAATTGCTGTAAAGTATACTATTCAATAGATTAAAGCAGTGTAACAATATTAAATTTACTGAAGTTGGTGACTGTGGCTATGTGAGAGAATATCCTTATTTTTAGGAAGTACACACTGGAATATTTAGGGGTAAAGGGCCATGATACATGTAAATTACCTTCAAATGGTTCATAAAAAAATATTATGTATCTCTATCTATCTAGATACAGAGAGAGCCTGAGTATAAATGATAAAGCAAATGGGGCAAAATATTATCAGTTGGTGCATCTGGGTCAAGAGGATGTGGGTATACTTGGTATTATTCTTGTAGCTTAATTTCAAATTTAAATGTTTCAGAAGTGCAATAGTTCCCTACATTGGTTAAGAATCTCAATCTAGCTACCTCTTAATCACTTCTTATTGTGTGTCCAGCACTCTCCTGGCCCTCTGGGGGGCTATGAAATGATGTTCCTACCCTTAGGAAGTTTAACCTCTCTTTAGGAATGAAGTCCCTCAAACGAGAAGCAGAGAAGGTTAGAAAATTTCAGCCAGGAGGTTAGAAAAGGAAGAAGAGATCAAGATAGGTGAATGGGGTCAAGAAGGGCTTCAAGGAGAAGGTAGGCCTGAGCCTCAAAGGCAGGATTTAAATCAGTAGAGGATATTTCAGATAATGTCAACAAATAGTTTGCATAATTCAGGGAGAGGCCTGTGCAGAGACTGAATGGACTGGAATGGAAACGGCTATTAGGAATTATTGGAAAGTATGGTTGGGTAAATAAGATAGGGCCAGTCTGTAAGTTCCTCAAGAGCAGTGTCTAACTGATCTCATGCAAAGTATCCCCCACAGCAGAGGGCACTGGACCAAATTCACGGGTGGTGTCCAATACACCCTTATCACTTGATTAAGAAAAAATAATTTCATTGAGCCTAAAACCAAGATAAGAAGTTTGACCCCAATCCTATACATAACAAATATATATATAATTTTTATAGGTATTGAGCTGAGGGCAGGGACTTTCTAAAGTCCAAGCCAAACAAGCTAAGAGATAGTACAGGACCTGGCTGGACATTGACGGAAGGTAGTAGGTCCAGGTGGCAAAGCCAACGTGAGGTATTAACTGTTCTAATGCAGAAGTCTTTCAAGAGGCGCCGTCATTTTAAAAGAATGGCCTTGCAAGAAATCTGTCCTTTTAGCAAAGGGATGAATCTCCCCGAGCCGGGGCATTTTGAACACAAAAGGACACTGCTTAACCTCAGTGCTTACAACTGGAGCCCAGTTTGCTCAGCCTTTTTGAGGGTATTAGCGGCCTGGTTCTGTCCCTAGAAGTAGTTGGCCTTCTCACTGCTCAGCAGGGCCCCAGCAACTGGCTCTCAGAGCCCCAGCAGACCCTTGCCCCCATCTATGCTCTAGCGAAACTATATGCAAATTTTAGTTAATCAAACCCATTTCCCCACTAACTTGCATTAAAACATCAGCCATTTGTCTTCATTTCTGATTTCTTTTGACCAGCCTGTCACTTTTTAAAAAATAAATTTATTTTATTTATTTTTGGCTGCGTTGGGTTTTCATTGCTGTGCGCGGGCTTTCTCTAGTTGCAGCGAGCGGGGGTGGGGGGGTGGGCTACTCTTCATTGCGGTGCTTGGGCTTCTTACTGCAGTGGCTTCTCTTGTCGCAGAGCACGGGCTCTAGGCACGTGGGCTTCAATAGTTGTGGCATGAGGGCTCAGTAGTTGTGGCTCGCAGGCTCTAGAGCACGGGCTCTAAAGCACAGGCTCAGTAGTTGTGGCACACGGGCTTAGTTGCTCCACGGCATGTGGGATCTTCCCAGACCAGGGCTCCAACCCGCGTCCCCTGCATTGGCAGGTGGAGTCTTAACCACTGCGCCACCAGGGAAGTCCCCAGCCAGTCACTTCTAACACCTTTAGGCTCGATATCAACAAGCACCAAAATGCATTAGAGGTGGGGTCAGCAAACCGTGGCCCACAGGCCAAATCCCGTCCATCTGCCTGCATTTCTATGACCCTCATGCTCAGAGTGGTCTTTACGTTTTAAATGGTTGGAAAAAATCAAAATAATAATAATTCAGAACATGTGAAAATGAAACCCACACGTGAAATTCAAATTTCAGTGTCCGCAAATGAACTTTTATTGGCACACAGTCACGTTCATCCTTTTACATATTATCAATGGCTGGTTTTGTTCTATAGCTAACAGTTGAATAGTTGCAGAGACCACGTGGCCTGCAAAGCCTAAGATAGTTACCAGCTGGCCCTTTCCAGAAAAAGTTTGTTGGTCCCTGCCCTAGAGCAGTGGTTCTCAGTTTGGGACGATTTTGCCCTCCAGGGGACATTTAGCATTATCTGGAGACAGTTTCGGTTGTCACAGCTGGGGATGGGATGGTATAGTGTGCTACTGACATCTAGTGGGTAGGGATGCTACAGTGCACAGGACAGCCTCCACAGCAACTAATTATCTGGCATCAAAAGACTATAGTGCTGAGGTTGAGAAACCGTGGATTGGAAGAACCTAAGATACTTCTAGTAAAGGGGAAACTCCATCCTTAACAGGGATTCCGTTTAGTGAACACCCAGATCTTTAATTTACATTAGCTCATGGAACCTTCGCAATCACCCTGCAAGGGAGTTACTGATATTCTTCTTTTACAGGGAAGTTTTGACCACAACTTGCCCCAGAGCATACACAGCTGGCAAGTCTGTCTGGCTCCACAGCCGGTATTTTTCCACACCTCAGTGCCTGCCGGGGCTCGGTGACGTCACAGGCAAGTGTTGTTCCCGCTCGGCTGCCCCCTAGTGTGCGAGCTGCGCAGACGCAGGCCAGTGTCGTTTCCCCCGGTACCCGCTCAGACGCCTCCAGGCCTCGGTTCGAAGAGGGTATCCACCACCCTCCGGTCTCCAGCATCTGGCCATTCGGGAAATGAAGCTGAGGAAAGGAAACCGCACCTCGACGGCGACCAGAACTATGAAAACTGACCACTCTCCCTCTTGCCCGCTTTAATGCTGGCAGGGACAAAAGGAGGATTCCCTCCCTAGGAGACCCTATCCATAGAAGGCTTTTCAAGTCATATCCATGAATTTTAGGGATGCTCATATCACAGTATTAAATAAGACATGCAGCGCAGAGTTCTTTTCCTTCTGGAATTAAAACTCACCCGAATCTTATTCTGTAGGGTTTGGCAACTCCACTTTCTCCATCTATTTATTATCCTGTAAGATAATGAGCTCAACGCATCAGTTAAGTCCATGCTAATGAAGGAAAAGTAAAGGACTTCCTGCTCATCTCCACCTCACCCCATGGAAATTTCAAGCCCAGGTGGGGGGAGTAGGCCCAGCAGCCTACCCAGGAAGGTTGCAAACTGGCTGATGGTGCCTCCCTGAGCTCCTCGGTCACCCCCTTTGAAAGGAAGCCACCCACTCCTCCTAAGGCAAACCGCGGTGGGCCCATCACCTAATGATCACACAGCCGTTGAGCATTTCTTTGAATTTTATTGAAAATTGGCATGGACATTAGAAAGGTATCAAGCTAAACAATGCTGGTTTCGGGATGTTTCTCCTGGCGAATGAAAGCCCCAGAGGGCCAATGACTGGTCACATCTCTGAGCAAAAAGAACAAAGGAGAAGAAAGGAAAAACAGACTCTGGAAAACATGCAAAGAGGCTCTCTCAAGAGACACAGAACAGTGGAATGGCAATGGTTGTAGGGATATATGGGAATGAGCACACTCACATGGTATTTTGATGCAAGTTAAACCAATGAATTCAAGGCAGATTTATCAACATCAAAGCTCTCCCTCCAGATCCCAAGTTGAGCAGAAACTTCTCTCAAAACCCCAACTGGCCTTGGAAGGTTGAACGGAGTCATTTTGCTCTCACTAAGCTTAAACTCCCCCGACTCTCCCTTCTCCACCTGAGAGTTAGTAGATCCACTTCCCCCACTTGCTGGGGGGTCTGCAGAAGGTCTGTGAATGCTGAAGAAGACATGAATGTTGCTCGACTTTCTCATCCATATTCAGAAATGTTTAATAGTGGCTGTAGACAGTCAACCCATTGAACCAGAGAATTGGTGTTTAAAAAGAAAAACAGAAAACTCAAACGAAAACTTGTGAACAGTACTTCCACACCCACAGCTGAGGTCTCCTGCCTCAGTCACTTACACTTGGGTGAGTCGTCCTGCAGTTGTCTCTCTGAGGCTACATTTGGTCCATTCTCCAGCTCGGATGGTTCTTTGCATGCCTTGTTAGGTTAGGACAAGACACTTCCATTTAAAATACCACGTAAGTCGGGAGAGAGCGTCTTGCCTGGACACAGGGACACAATGAACACTTGTTGTGTGGTGTGTGTGTGTGTGTGTGTATGCGCACGCACTTTGGAGGGAGAGGGAATTGGTTGGTTTCTGATTTGAGACAATATGGAACCCTAACTCTTCTACAATGGCAGTCTTCTCCTTTAGACTTAGTGCAGCTGCTGAAGACAAGATTAAAAAAAGCTGGAGAGGGAGAGAGAAAGAAAGAAAACATGAAATTAGCTAAAGAAAAAGGATATTCAGAATAAGACAGGGTGAGGGAAGTAGGCAGTGTGAGGTAGCACAGAGCATACTTGGAGAAGACAGGTGAGAAATGGGGTCGCTGATGGGCCATCACCACAGGGAAATGTGCTGAGGTTTTAAGAACACCACACACCAGTTAAAAGCTTCTTGTTTTAATTAAAACAAAAAGAGAGAGAGAGAGCACATATTAACAGCCACATGTGAATGCCAAATAATTAAAACAAAAAACATAAACAACAAAAAAGTGATCTGTACTGCAGCTAGGAAAAGCAAACTTCTGGCTTAAGAGACATGAGGGGTGTGTGTGTGTACACATGGGGATTTTTCAAGAAAACCGTTCTATCCCAGTCTCGGCTGGGGTGGGCGTGGAGCCAGACACAGACCATTTCTAACGACTGGTTTTGTTTCACCAGAAGTAAACAGAGTACTTAGGGTATTTTTTAAAATAGTAATAACTGTACCACTTAAAAAGTCTTTTCACTGAAGAAGGAAGAAAACCTTTCTGTCTACAGTGAGACAAGCTACCCAATAAAATAAGCATTTTAATTCTTTTAATAGCCTTGGTTGACTTCCTAAAGGTCTCGTGTTCACTCACAGGGTAGATTTTTGTTTACCAAACTTCCTTGATGACAAGGATCATCTAGGGCACCTGTTAAACATCCGTCCGCACGCCCCATTCCAGACTCCCAGGAAAGCTGAGCAGCTAACAGGTGCCTGTGACTCTTATCGTCAGCGGAAGTGCTCAGTGCTGGCCTAGAGCCCTCTGCTTTGCCTGTCCCTACCCACCCCATCCTCGAATATTTTCTTATGGGATAAAAACCTCAAAGGCCCTCTAATACTAACTATTCATTTTCTCTGGAACATCAAAAGACTTGTCTCTAGGAACATACATGAACACATTGAGTCCATCTATAAAATGGCTCGGGACTCAGGACACACTGCATTTAGCCTGGCTTCTGCCATGAAACAGGACTGGGGCGTCTGGCAAGTCCCTTCATTTCTCGGGGCCTCAATTTTCTCTTACAAGAAAGTGGGTCCTATCTGTCTTCTGGACCAAAATGTCTCCCCTCATACGAAATTCCTGCCTAGTCTCTGAAGGTCTCTCAAAGGCTGGGTGGCTCTAATACCTTTTGAAGTTTTCAGAGCTCCTCAAGCCTCAAGCAGTTAATCTGTAAACAAATGCAAATGAGGGAGCCTCCGATTTGTAATGCAAATAATTACAGCGGATGGAGACCGATTCGTTGTTTATGTTTGGGATTCTGGGGAAGCAGCCGTGAAACTGGTCACAGAAACATCAAAGCTACAAATAAGCAGCCTTTCCCAAGACCTGACAGCCCTAGCTTAGCATCTCCCTGAGCTACTGGCTGAGTACCCAAGCTTTTTTGTTTTTTAAATCTCCGAGCACAGGGTCTCCGAAAATGCTCCACGGTGTGACTTGGATTTTCTCAAGAAACTAGCTTATGCTTTCGCAGCACCACCTTCATACTTGCTTCTGGCCACTCACCAATCAGTGACTCACCAAACAATACATGTCAAAACTGCACTCTTGCTTTGCCAACAAGAAAAGATAAAGTGTGTGCATTTGTTTGCTTTTCGTTTTTTTCTGCTTTTTGCTTCCTGTCATTATCTATTATTGAAGAGAGAACTCCCCTTCCCATTCACAATACTTCAAAAAGGCCTGAAAATTTCACATAGCCTTGTTTGTGTGTTTTGAAAGAAAGTGACCAAAAAACAAAAAAACCCTCAAAAATAAAAAAGAAGGTCATGGTCAGTGCCAGTGGGACTGTGAGGCAGAAATCAAAAGAAGAGGTGGGGCTTGAAGTGGAAGTACATGGCAGGGGCAGGGGACCCAGCTGCCTGGCGCTCCAAAGGAAAGCTGTCAGTTACAATAGGAACCTTGGCTTAAAAGGCTAAATGGAGTCCAGTCCAGCTGTAGCGGGGAATACTATTCAGTACACAGCCATGGATTACTGCAAAGGAAGGGCAGAGAAACGGCGTGTTAGCCACAGATCGTTGCCAGGTCACTCCAGCTCTCACTCTCTCACTGGCCAAACACCAAAGGCCACTGTGCCTCATGGCCCTGACAATGGAGGGCTCTCAACTTCAAAGGGGCTCCCAAAGCCACTATCGGATGGGCCCCATCATACAAATCAGGGCTGGAAGATTTTTAAAATAACAAATCCTTAGACTGGAGACAAAGTTAGGGACCTTCCAAGGCACACCTCTTTTCTCCTCTCCAACTGATAGTCTCACCTCTTCTTATTGTGGGGCACGCGCAAAATACAGATTGAAACTCATCATCACATTCACCAAACAGACTGGAAGATTCACCAGAGCAAAACTGAAAACACTGATTCTTTGACCACTCAGTTTAGCAGTTTGTGACAGGGGATGATTATACCTGCTACTGGCCCTGCCTTATTGGGATGGTGTGGCGTCCTAAGGGAACTTACAGAGGAGATGCTGAGACACCTTGTAACAATTCCCTAAGACACTAGGTTGGTACTAATATTCAGGTTTATTCTGCCTTCTGCATCTGTGGGGTACTCAGAATAACAGAGGGGGGAAATTCATGCTACTTTCTTCAGCAGTCGTGTTGTCTGGGAAGGGCTGGCTGTAAGCAAACTCGTTCCAGGTTTTTAACACAGCTTGAGTGCAATTATTTTGAGTGAATCAAAACTGGAGAGGGCTGGGCTGACAGGCCAGGAGGAGAAGGCACCAAAGGATTCTCCTTCTGGAACCCTCTGAGAAGAGGCTGCGGCTCTTCTGTTGGGGGCTGAGGGATGGTTGGGGAAGCCAAGTGACTGCGGACTAATGGGGAAAGCCGTGCTGACTGGTGCTCACCCAGCCATGGTGGATGCAAATACCTCAGGGGAACAAGCAGCAGCCAGAGTTGGAACAGGGAAGCTGGTGGTACAGAAGAGCAGGTGGGACCCCTGAACATGTTACAGTCCAGCAAAGATGGAGTGGGGAGTGGCCGGCTGGGGGCGCTGGGAGGGGCACTGGGATGCAGGATGCATCTTTGGACCACGTGACTGATGGCTTCTTGACCAGAGGCCAGACGCCGTCCTCAGACTCTCGGCTTCTATAAACCTTGGCAGGAAGAAAGGGGAGGGCACGGGTTCTGTGCCCACAGACGTGTTAAGGGGGAATTAGAGACAGGGAAGCTCAGCTCTGTTGCACAGGAAAAGGGCGTCTACAGGAAGCCCAAACTGAAAATGAAAACAGAAGTTGGGTTAATGAATGGATGGATTAATGTCAAAAAAAAAAAAAAGGTTAGAAGAAAATGTCTTGATGACTAATGGATAAATTAGAATATAGCTGTGTTAGATGGTCTTAAGTCCTTATTGCACTGGCTTCTGGGAACATGCTTTCTCTCTCATTCACCCACACACCTCTGAGTGGCGACCACAGTGGCATTAGCTAGCAAAACAATTATCAACAGCCACAAGAATACTTCTCTCTTCTTAATTCCTAGGTCCTGACTAGTGCCCCCCACCCAGACACCTTGTAGAGGAATACCTTTAGCAAATCTCCAGGTGGCCTCAGGCCACGGCGCAGCGCCAGGCTCTCAGCCACTGAGTGCCTCGCCCCACAGGGAAAGCAGAGGAGGTAGAGGTTTCACCTTCGGAGAGTCCCAGTCCACTACCACGTACCCCTGGGGAAAGATCTGTTCGAGACGTGTCTGGGGGCAGTAACTGGGCTCTGCACTAGGGTCCGAACTACGGAAATCCATTATTGGTTTGTGTTCACACTGCACTTTGAACTTTCTCCCATTTAAACTTCATCCTTGTGACGCAAGTTTGACATATGAGGAGGCTGAGAAACACGGTGAGGCCAACGGACTTGCCTGAGGTCACAGAGAAAGTCACAACCAAAAGGCGCAGCACCTGAATCCCTTGGCTGTTTGATCAAGACTCTTTCCTTCACGCCACAGTGTCCCTGAGAACTCCTTGCCTGTGGATCTAAGCCCCTGGTTATTTTTTACCTGAACACATTTATCTCATTAAATAAAGATACTGGGGAGGGACAGTTAAAAGCATATGCTAAGTATGTTTGTACAGTCACTTCCTCGGAGTGAATACATCCACGCCTACACACCCACACACACACACTCACGTGAGTGGCAGTGTATACCAGGAACTAGGCGTTTTGCATTCTTGTTCCTCGCTATGTGAGCATTGGCAAGTCTCTTAAATTCCCCACTCCTCCATTTGTTCATCTTGTCAACTGAAGGTCAGCCCTTTCTCCTCTACCTCACGGGACTGTTGTAATGTGAAAATGAGGTACCATATGGAAAAACACTTTGAAGAGTGTGAAAATGTAATACAAATGCTCAGCTCTATTTTTCTTCTTTGTCTACTTCCTAGGGGAAGAGAAACCTATAGAACACTGCAACAGCCTACGTCCTGGGCTGCACGGGAAGGCTGAAATATTTTGATATGTGTGTACCGTCCATGCACTGGGCACCCCCAACCAAGGGTCAAGGGGCCAGCAACCACTGAGACATAGCACCTGCAACTGTGTGCGGGTCACAGAGGAAGGATTTCTCTTGCAACTGCAGACAGCTGCCAGCAGTGCCTCAAGCCATTTCAAAACCAGCAAGGAACAGTAAGCCTCACTCTGCCTGCACTCTAGTTAATGAGGGGTGGCCTTTGTGATCCACCCCTGAAATGAGGGCTTTGGGGGATGGACGGGTTGCCTTTGCTGCTTTCAGACCCCAGGGAGCCAAGGCCTCCTTCCCCTATTTGGTTTGGAACGGCTTTTGTGGTGTGCTGGCGAGGAGCATGCCAGAAAAAGCCAACCTACTCAGGGTCGGGGTTGGCTGTTCCCACTGTTTGCCAATTGCCTCTCACTTGGAAAGTATGGCTTTAATTATAGTTTTGCCAGGACTCATTTTAGTAATGGCCATTACCAATGATTTACTCTGGGAAGGCTGAACCAAAGTGTGTCAAAGAGCGTTAATTTGGGTTTCATTAACTGAAATCTAACTGAACAGGATGCAACTTTCCTGTTGTCCTCATTGAAAATGGGGGAGGGGGCAAAGAAAATACACATGAACTGAGTGCCGGCCTCTGTGCTGGGCACTGGGACTGCAGCCATGGACAGACACTCTCGGAGTTGTGAGTCTTCCTAGGTGGAAACCTGCTGTTTCATTCAAGTCAACTACCAGGGCGCCGAGACTTGCTTTTAAGCCAGACAATACATCATCTCATTGTTCTTTTCGGGTTGTTTCCTTTGGCCCAATTTCACGGGCCTTATGCTTCAGAAGCCTCTATGGACTTCCTCTTCGGGATTTGCCTGAAAGTAGGATGTTTTGCCAGCTGCCCAAAGTCCCCAGGGCAGTAGCTGCAGCGATTAGTTCGGTGACTAACAGCAGGCTCTCCATTTAAATCATAAGTTCCATGGGTGAGTGGGGAGAAGTCTTCTCAATATTTTATAGTCCCTGACCCAAACAAAGCAAATGTAAAAGGCATTTATGAGACAGCCGGGGTATTCTGAACACTGACTAGAAATTTTATGTGAACGAATTGTTCATTTTGGGGGTGTGATAATGGTGGCGTTGTCGTTATTTATTTTTTTTAAGAGTCATGAGCTCTTAGAGATGCATGCTGAAGTATTTACAAATGAAATGATATGGGTTTCGCTTTGCAGTACTCCAGCCGGTTTGGAGCAATAGATAAGACAGGATTGGTGTATGTTGACAGTTGTTTGGGGGCTGTGTTGTGGGTACATGGGGCTGCATTGTACTGTCCTTTCTCTTCTTTCGTTCCTGCTTGAAAGTTTCTATGGTAAAGTTTAACAATGGTAATAAGCCTAATTATGTTAGATTTAAAATATTTATGTTCCTCCCCACTCACTACCTGAGTCTAGTTAAAAAGATAGAAGCAACTTAATCATCGCTATAACCAACGTATAAACTATGTGATGCCAGGGGCTGCTTTATTCACTCCTGCAGACACAACACCTAGCCCTGAGGAATCCACCTTACCAACGGTTACCTGCTTACCTACTTATCAAAGGTGTTCATGAAGCTGGTACTTGTAGAATTAAATATTCTATAATATCTGAGAACCTTCATTTTCTTCCACTTTTATTATAGTTTTGGGGGCCAAACGAAATTAGAGAACTTGAACCCCTCAGGTAAGAAACAGCCACCAGAGGGAAACAGAGAAGCAAGTTTCCGTTGGCTCAAAACATTCCCAAACCTGGGCGCCAAGGCTGACCGTGACGTTGCAGAACAGGGCTTGTGAACTCAACAGTTCCCCTCGTCACAGCAGTTTAGTTAATTTTGAAAGTAATGATGAAGGCGCCTTTAGAAAAAAAAATGGCCAAAATTGAAACTTCAAATATTGATCACAGGATCTACTTATGCTACCTAGCTGTTCTAGCAGCAAAAGTCTGAAAACACCCCACTTGTACTCAGGAAGGCAAACATTCCCACATGTATACCTGAAATCACACCAGCCTATTTTTTCATAATATAAGTCACAAGAGAATACCAGCTAGAACAATGAAGCAGCTTCTTTGATATTAGATACGTGTGTTGGGCAGGGGGTGGGATTCGGGGAGGTGTGTTCTAGAAGCCACTGGCAGTTCTATTTAGAGTTAATGAAGCTTACCGGGACCCTGGGTCTCATGCAGCATGCAGCAAACAGCAGAGTTAACTGTAAAACAGTAAAAGCTGATGAAGGTGGAGTGAGCTTGGGGAGAAATCAAGTATTATGAATCAAACATAATATTATGCTGACACACACAATGAAGAGTTAGAGGTCAGAGGAGATTAGGAGGAGTGGGGAGGGGAAGAAGGGAGGGTGTGCTGGTAGGGACCCCCGAAACACCGGTACTCTTTCTTAACCTCTTTAAGGGCAGCCAAAGGAAGTTCTCAGTATGTGACTCTATTAGATCCGATCACCATCTCTCAAGAAGAAATGCTTCTACCCCTACTTCCGCCCTCAACCCCCGCCCCCCCATCATCACCACGGGACAAGGGTGACACAGGTCTAATGATGGGTCTTCCAGAGGTTAGCCAACTGTTCAGGGAATTACATAAAAAGCCCACACCTGGGGCCACTTATATATCTGGAAATACAGAAGAGGACCCCTTATTGGGGTCCTCTGCCTGGGGGTGGGGTGGCAGTCAGTTAATTGAGGGCAACGAGGAGAAAGCCTGGTCTGGGAGGAACTTCCACTGAACAGCTCAATAGGGACTATTTATAGTTGAGTGTCAGTGGGGTCCCAACAAATGAATCTCCTAATTCCTGCCAGCAGGCCGTGAAACTGCCCCAGGGACTGAGTTAACAAACACCACAGGACTACGGAAGGCCAGAAGACAAATTTAGACTTTTCTGATCTTAAAAATAGGAATCCATTCCTGCCGGCGCAACTAACACAAGTCAGTTAATATACAGTGCGCCCAAAGAGGTTTTTTTCGGGCTACCTGAACTTTATCTATCAGGTAATACCACAAAAAGTTAGTCTGTGACTTTGACATAGAGTGTGAGATTCAGTAACAAAAAATCTCTGGACTAATTGGTGAAAATACCCAAATTACACTTTTGAAAAAAGAATATTCAGATGGCAAAACTGAGTGCCTTTAAATATAAGCTATTTTACTGTTGTATTTTATTGTTGGTGAAATGTTATACTGTTTTATCCTTAAGTGATAAGTCAGGCACAGAAGAAAGGATGCTTCCGCCTTCTGGCAAATATCCAATAGTTGAGTCCAGCAACAAGTGGCTAAGAACAGAAGGCAATGACCAGGGACATGTTTCAGATCCTCGGGCCGCTTTAGTAAGGACACTGCTTGACACTGCAAATGAGGGCTCCTCCAGTCACACTGCACAAACAACTAGAGCGCAAGGGACCACCGGATGTTTTCCTGGTGTTGTACAGGTCCCGTCGGAAATGCTTTTCTCTTCTCTGGTTCTGGGATAAGGGATGGATAACTTCAGCAAGCAAGGTCTGGGCTTGGGTCAGGGATACTGACCCACATGGTAACCAAGAGCTCATGCTATCCTGCCTCACCAAACGCCAGGGGAGACAGATGGATTGTACAGTCATCCCGGGTGTGGAGGATGGTGCCCGCGGAGGATACTAGCATCTGAGGGTTCCCCACCAAGTCCCCGGTACCCCAGGCTGGGAACAACAAAGCAGCCAAGAGGGAGGGACGGGAAGGGGTGAGAAATCAGGACCAGGTTGCAGCCTTCAGCGGCAGCACTTGAACCCTCTTGGCCGCAGCCGTGAGAACTGAGCGGGGGGGCGAGGGGGGGGTCTCCAGGCATGGAGAGGTGAACCACCTTAGACCTAGGACAAGCGAGCAGAAGCCTGTGAGCTGGATCGGCTCCAGCCTCCCGGGGGAAAGAGGGTGCCCAGAGGCTCCTGCTACCCTCTCTCTGCGCTTCTTCCTGTTCTCTTTCCTGTAACTTTGCAGCTTCTCGTTGTTTCCTCCCTTCTTCTTTCTCCTGTCTCACATTCCTTTTGCTTTTCCTCCCCCTTTCCCTCCCTCTCCTCCTACCTTGAGTTTGCAGGGTTTTCCCAAGCGGGCCGAGCAGAGGGGCTGGGCCTCTGGGGCCACACACCGCCCTCCCCTACTCTCAGCTCCCCAAACTCAGGGAATCCGAAGGTCCGGTGGGGACACCGAGATCAGCCCACAGCTGGCCTCGGTCACCGCCCTGAGGGGATGAGCAGGAGGGGAGAGAGGCCCTCGCCCCAGAGCAGCCCACTACTTACTTCTTCTTCTCTTTGTCTCTTTTCAGAGTCTGTGAGCCTCCAGCCTGGGAGCCCTGGGACTGGAGCAGCTCGGCTGCCGTCTTTCTCTGTTTGAAAGCGTTCACTTCATCATCCAGGGATTTCTTCTTATCCTCCAACTTCTTCTTCTCGTCCTGGTGTAGTTTCTTCAGACGGTCAAACTTCTCATGCAGCTGGCAGGGAAGCACAGGGAGTTTGGGGAGACCCCCTGTGAGCAGATCCCAGCTGAGCCCGGGGGGGGGGGATGGGCAGGCTTGCGACCCTCAGGACCCTGGGACCTGACGAGCCATTTCTGCCAGGGACGGCTATGATAGCGCCAAAGGGCACCATGTTCTGGATAGTTCCCTTCTGCCATCTTACCTCTGTGTTTCTGCTGCGGAATATGGTCAGGGAACCGTGCATTCTGCTTAATCAAGCATTTTATTTAAAAGAGTCCCGAGAGTTACTACATGTGGATAAAAATAACATCAGTGATAATATAGAACATTTACTGAGTGCTTATTATAGGCCAGGCACTGACTTTTATAAGCACTTTATATGTATTAACTCATTTAATCATCACAACAACCCTATGAGGTAGATTCTGTTATTGTCTGAATTTTATAAGGAAATAGAAGGTATGAGAAGTTAAGGAATTTGCCCAAGGTCAACTCATTCTTTTTATTTATTTATTTATTTATTTTTGGCTGCACTGGGTCTTCCTTGCTGCGTGCAGGCTTTCTCTAGTTGCAGCGAGCGCGGGCTATTCTTCCCTGCAGTACGTGGGCTTCTCATTGCGGTGGCTTCTCTTGTTGCAGAGCACGGGCTCTAGGTGCGTGGGCTCAGTAGTTGTGGCTTGTGGGCTGTAGAGCGCAGGCTCAGTAGTTGTGGCACACGGGCTTAGTTACTCTGTGGCATGTGGGATCTTCCCGGACCAAGGATGGAACCCGTGTCCCCTGCCCTGCATCGGCAGGCGGACTCTTAACCACTGCGCCACCAGGGAAGTCCTTCAACTCATTCTTTAGATGATTATATAATGACATCTCTCTCAATATGAAAGGGGCCCCTGCCTTTTCTTATTCCCTCCAATCAGGGAGATCATGGGGAGTTGCAGAGAAAATTTCAGCAGTGCCGAAGCTGGTCAAAGACAAGACTTGTTCTTGGACATGGAAGGAGATAAAAGAATTTTAGAAAATGGGATGATTGCGGAAACCTCAGCTTTGATCAAGGGGAGGCTTAACTAGCCCTGAATAGAGCCAGAGACCCAAAGGAGAAGAGCAAGAATATTCTGGCATGCCACTGTGATAAGTGGATCAGAGCGCTAGGGGTGTAGGTGGTAACAAACTAGAATGTGATAAACTACCCTGAATAGTAAGAGCAGCCCAAGCATCATTTCACTTTCTTTTGAGGATTCAGGAGGGAATGGAGGGTTCTGCAGTACTCACAGTACATTGTGAAGGAGGTCACGTGTCCTACAGGTATCTGGGACTGTCACTGAGTAAGGGGTGGTGGATGACAGACCTGCTGTGTAAACCAGCTTTTGCTAGTCACTTGGGGCAGGCTGGTGGTGGAAGCTCTGCTGATCAGTTGCTTTCGTCTGGCTTTTGTTCACTGGCCTTTCACTCATTTTCTTTATCGTTGAGATCCCCTCACCTGTCTTCCTAAAAGTACTGGGTGATATTATTCTTCTGAAAAGTGAAACTGAAATGAAGTCAATTCTCTTGCCATGGGCTTTGGCAATAACACCGGACAGCAGATTAAAAGAGGAAGAGGCTTGGGAAGTAATTAAGTGCTTCCTTTCTTTATGGGTTTCGAGGCCCAGAGAGCTGAAGCAGTTGCTGACGTGACCAAAACTGTGTCTGAGGCCAATTAATCTGGCAGCAGTAGGGGAATCGGTAGTGGGACCTCGGAGGCAAGGCAATGGTTAGAGGGCTAAATGCACTCTACTCTATTAGTCACGGCTTAAGTAATGAAAACTCCAGACAGACCATCAAGCCTTAGTTTAAAAACTTGCTAGAGCCGCACCAATGTTTCTTTAATGCTAGCATGAAATGGAATAGAATATTCAAGTGGATGGGGAAATGCAGCAGCTGTCACTGGTTTAGGATTCAGCAAGGTACCTAGGACTCCCTGGGACCATCTTTCCCCATGGCCCTCAGGGCAAGCAGGATGGAGCAGGACTGCGAAGAAAGTGATCAACTGTCCCTACTGGGCTCCGAACTCCCAGAAAGGGGGGGGAATATCAGCCCGCCCCTGACCTCGAGGGGCTAGGTCAGGTCTTGACTCTTGAGTGGCGCTGCCCAATAGAACTTTCTGTGGCATGAGGGTTGAGCATTTGAAATGTGGCTAATGCAACTTATAAACTGAGTTTTAAACTGTACTTAATTTCAATTCATTTAAATTTAAATAGCTACATGGGCTAGCAGCTACCTTATGGGACAGTGCGGCTCTAGTGAACTAAGTAACAGAGAACGAGAAAACATCCCGGCCTTGGGGAATGAGGGATGGAGAAGACACAGATCTCACAGCCTCCTCTGTGCCAGCCAAGGCACGGCGACAGATGCTGCGCCCCATTCCTGCCCGGAGGCTGCAAGACTCCCCCAGCTGCTCTCTTGGGGCAGGAACCCCTGTCTTGCCCAAGTTCAGCCTCCTTTTCCTTCCCACCTGGCACGCAGGCTCACATTTACCTCTTTTTCTGCCTCTTTAAGTTCAGCTTCTTTCTCTTTGACTCTCTGGACGAACATCTGTCTCATCTCCTCTTCTTTTTTCTGGAGCTCCCCTAGGAACTCATTCCTTTTGGCCTCATACGTCTCCTGTAAGCTGCGAACATGGTCAGGTTAATTCCCCTGCCTTTGGAATGGCTCCTGCTCACTGAAAACTGGCCCCAGTGATCCTCCCTGGGTTCTCCCACCCTCTCTTCCTCAATTCTGTGGGACGTGCAAAAGCAGAAGCACAGAGCTGTGGGCACCTGGACTGGCACGTGACAGCAGGGTCACAGGGTGCTGCGGGGTTATGGGGCCACCCCGGTGAACCCGAGAGATATCTGGAACTGGGAGTGACTTAGAACATCTGCTTCTATTCCCTGATTTACAGATAAAGAGAGAGGCCCAGAGAAGTGAGGTGACTCGCTCAAGATCACACAGCTAGTTAGAGGGAGAGCTGAGACCGGAAGCTGGGTTTCGTCTCATAATCTAGGTCCTTCCACCTGCACTATGCTGCCAGGTCCTGGCTCTGAAACTGATCACATTGATGAACGATTTCAGCAAACACTTGATGAGACTCCACCATGTGCTGGACACAGAAATAAGTGATACTATGCTAGTCACTCAATATCTAGAGCCAACAGCCACTGTGCCTGCCAAGGAACTCACAGTCTAGTGGGAGATGCCTGGGTTAAGTCTCCCTGCCCCCGGCCTGGACTTAGCTTTAAAGAAATAGGAGTTAGCCTGGTGAACATGAAGAGGATGTGTGCTCCGAAGAGGGCAGCCTGTGGAAGGGCACATGTGGAGAAGGAACGGCACACCTGGCTGGAGTAGTGGGCGACGAGGCTCCTGAGTGTGGCAGGAGAGAGCAGGCATTGGATGCCATGTTAAGACTTAGATGTTTTAAGCAGGGCTGACTTGATACGTTTTGAAAATGGGAAAGACCACTCTGGGCATTGTGTGAAGGACGGACTTTCCAACAATCCAAGTAAGAAATGACAGGATCTTAATTAACGTCAAGGGCTGGGAAGGAATGTGGGAATGGGAGACAAGCGAGGGAAGCAGAACTCCCAGGACTTGGGAGGAGTCAAAGGTGATTCTGGTTTTTCGACTTGGGCAACCAGGTGGATGGTGGTGCTATGTACTATGACAGGGAACACTGGAGAAGGAGTACGTTTAAGGAGATGAATTAAATTTGAGACAGCTTGAGTTTCAGGTACATCCTCTATGGGACAGCCAAGTGAAAATATCCAGTAAGCAGTGGGATCACTGGGTTTGGAGCTCAAAAGTAAGATGTTAGCTTGGGAGTAATCTATTTCTAGGTGGTAATTAGGGCTGTGAGAGTAGAAAGAACCAGCTGCAAAGAACATAGAGAGTGAAAGGAGCAGAGGCCATCAGAAAGAACGGGGAAAGGCAGAAGCTGAACAAAATGAACCTGTCGATGAGGCTTTGAAGGAGTAGCAGCGCGCGCGAGAGGACTGAAACCGGCCAGACCAGTGCTAGAAAAGCGAACGGCAGAGAGAATTTCGGGGAGGAGGCAGAGGGGACGAGTATCAAATGCTATGTTGAGATTAAAAAGAGATGGGACTCAGAGGCCACAGTGGAATTGGCCGTGAGTATGTGACTGCTGACCTTGGAGAGAGGCGTCTGCATTCAGTGGTGCAGTGGAGGCGGAAGCCAGTAAACACGGAACAATTCTTTCCCCTTCCCATCACAGCCAAACTCCTTGACAGGGCGGAGGCTGGTGACGAGGAGCAGGGTGAGGGAGAGTTTCTTTAGGATGAGAATGTCTGCCTGCAACATGGAAAGGAGCCAGCAGAGAAAACGTGCAGAGGGCAAAGACGCGGGAAACAGAGGTAGTCAGGCTGGAGGCGACCTAGGAGGGGAGGGGACTAGATGACACCTCTTCCCCCGCAGGTGCAGTTAAAGCTGTCGGAAGGGAAGGAGGGAGAAAGCAAAGGCAACGCCCACCAGAGAGACCAGCATGTTTTCCTCCAACTCCAGGGGCTCCGGCAGCCCCTGTCCATGAAAGGGGCATTCATTCGCCCCTCCAGAACCAGGCATCCCCAAAGGAATGGCTATGCTTTGCCCCCAGGTGGGCTTTCTGCTGTGAACAAGTACTGTGGGATCTCAGAGGCCATTTGAAGGCCATCTTATCCCACAAGCATCCCCCTAACTTGCTTATCGAGGCCTGACAGCTCCTGAAAGGGGACCTGAGCTCCAATAAAGAACACCACATGGTAATTTACAATGTGGGGCTTACGTCACACACCATGCATCTAGATCAAACACTTAAACATATAGCTCCCATCAGCATAGTTATTTGAAAGCATTTGAAGCAATGTTTTCAAAAACATTCCTCTTCTCTGAAAGCATCTTGGTTCTGATTTGAAATGTCAATGATTATTAACATCCTGTGGTCAAAACAAAACTTGCCCTTGAACACAAACACTAAGGACAGCGACTGAAGAGCCGGAAGTTCATCAACACTTGTGCAATGACTGCTGCCTGGTCCCATCTGGTTTTGATAACAGGGAGGGGGCTAAAGAACAGACTGGAAACCCAACAGAGCAGAAGGAGCCTGATGTAGAAAGTAGGGCAGTGGCCAGACACAAACTGCCACGTGGCTGAACAAGGCCCGGGTTCAGGGCTCGCAGCTGCCGTGTGAATGCTTGTGGCGGCGAGACAATCGGCCTCGCCCATCCCCTGGCCTCCTCCCTGCCCCCACCCTTATAAGCAGGACAGCAATGCTTACCGAGCCCGTCCTGCCACAGCTCCCCCTGGCAGGTGTGCCGAGGCAGAGAAGGGACGGGCAAGTGGAAGTGGCGAGCGACTTAGCCCTGTGGCTCCAGGTCTGGGCACCCGTGTCTCACCTCCCCTGTGAATTCTCCAGGGCGAGGCTTCCCCACCGCACCCCCGCCCCGCCCCGCATCGTGTGCGCTGAGCTGAGCTGGGCCGGGCTGGTGGGAGAGGTACCTGAAGGGTTTGCTGTCGGGGTCGGTGTCCTTAAAGCCCATCTCCTCCAGCTTGCAGCGGCGGTACAGCTCATAGTGCCGGCTGTGGGTCTGCTCCCGGAGGTCCTCCATGTTGACCCGGATCAGCATCTCCCGCAGCTTCACAAAGTCGCAGTGGGCTTCATTTTCAACTGCATAGCAGCAGTTGGGGTATTGGAAAGGAAGGTCACAAGAAGCAGAAATGGACAAAATGAGACGGGAAATGTCTAACAGTGACATCGCCTTTCAATCTGTGTATATAGAGCTCGCAATTTTGCCTCCTAATTGGCTTTTCTACTAAAAAGCCAAATGAAAAGTTACAAGAATGACACTAATGGAAAACTGCAATACCATAAAAATATCTAAGAAGACATTCATTAGCACCTCAACCCAAATTCACCCACCAGACATTCACAGAAATGTTTGCTCTGCACCACTTTTAGGACGATGGCAAATGCACATTCAACCATCCATCTGATAAATACTTGCAAAATTTCTGTTCCCAGGATCATGTGAGGCACTGGAAATTCAAAAACATGGAGTCTTGCCCGTAGGAGCTTCCAGTTTAGTGGAAGAACATAATACAATGCAAAAATTACCAACATGGAGGTATGTAGCCAAGGTGCAACAAAAGCCCAGAAAAGCCCGGGGGCCTGAGAACTCCAGGGAGAGTAAAGGCTTCAACAAAGAGATGACCGACCCCTAAGATGACTCTTGAAGGAAGGCTAGGAATTAATCAGGCAGATAAGGGACTCATCCTTGCAAGATCTCAATGAGGTCAGGCAAGGTTACACAACTAGAAGTCGCAGGGTTAGGATTGCAATCCAGGTCCTCTAAAGGAGAGACAAAGGCTATGACCAGGCGCCAAAGTCCAAAGGATAAGGGAGAAGAATTAGGACATCAATAGATGACAGTGACAAGGAGGGATGTGGACCACAGGTGTGGCCCATCTGTATGGTAGAAGCTTCAAAGGAGGTGTTTTCAGAGGGTGGATAATGGCCTGATGGCAGCAATGATGACCAGGACAGAGTGGGCCCCACTTTCCAGCCTGAGTGAACAAGCCCCCTCCTCAAAAGAGTAGCATCTGAGATGATGAACAGGCACAGTCACCCCAGATTCTGTCTCACGGGTCTGGGAGAAGGTCGTGGGGACAGGGAGGGACACGAGGATGACAGGGTGGGGCAGGGTTGCAGCAGATTGCATTGCGGTCATCAGAGCAATCTTTCCAAAGCCCAAATCAGCTCACATAACCCTTTGCCTAAGACACAGTGCCTCTGGGAGAAAGCCCCTCGCTGTCATAGAACATACCAGCGTTAAGTCAGGCAACTCCTCAGGACAATCTCCTCCTCCATCCCTGGAGAGTGGTCCCTGATGGCCAGTCACAAGGAGTGACTCCAAGGCCCTGCAAGGCCCAGACAATGCATGGCTTCTCTCACTCAAACAGAACCACGAACTCCGACTTACAAGAAACACTTGGAAAACCCCCTTTGTTGGTTGGGTGTGGGGTGGTCTGAATCGGAGTATGTCATTGGGACCACGTCTGCTAGCTTCTCCTCATTTCACCTCAGGTTCCTGTCTCTCAGACTCCAAAATTCACTCCCAGGGTGGGACTGTTGGTCCAGAAAGCATTTGCAAATGTTCTGGGAGGAGCATCCCCAGACCCAAATGGTAGAGAAGACCAAAACCTAGCATGGTTCTGATGACCAGCGTTGTCCTTACCTGCGGAAAAGCCAGCTATCGCCGGAGGGTGTCTGGCGTGCCCCAGAGCCTGCCAGCCTTTGATGTGATGTGGACAACTTCCCACCAGCTTCTGGTTGTTTGCTCAGTGGCCGGAATGAGTTTACAGTAAACCAGCCACCCTCTCACACACGGTGCCCCTGCCATCTGCCACCCAGCGTATGGCTGGAGACTCGGAGGACCAGACACCTCGTACACCCATGGCAATGTCCTGGGCCTTATCCACTGAACTGACTAGTACCACATAATGTGTGTCAGGCAGACCACAAAAGGAAATTTCCCGAGCCCGTAGGCAATACGTCTGTTTTTAATTTGCAAAATAATCATACATACAAAAGAGTGCTTGAAATGTACAATTTAAAGGTTTAAAAAAAAAAAAAAAAAGAACACCGATGTATCCATGGCCCAGGTGAAACGTTACCAGGGCCCTAGAAGTCCCTTTGAGTCCCTGATCTCATGCCTCTCCTTCCCTGCAACAAGACTTAACCACTAGCCTGAGTTGGGGATTTATCCTTCCTTTGTTTTTCTTTATAGTTTTACCACATATGCATGAATTCCTAAAGTTTGGTTTTATCTACTTTTGGAATCTGTATAAATGGAATCATACGGCCTGTCTTCTTCTATGATTTACTCAGCTCAACATTATGTTTCTGAGATGCATTGCTGTAGATGTAACTAAAGTCCATCCATTTTCGTTGCTGAATAATATTGCATTATTTGAACATTCCACAATTCTCCCAATCTATTTTTAATGGCTATCTGACTTGTTTCTAATTATTTGCTATTATGAACAATGCTGCTGTGGACACTGTTGTCAGTCTCCTGGTACACGCAGGCGAGTACACATGCTTTCTCACACACTCCTTGCTACCTTACTCCAAGTACATTTATTTTTGTTTTAAGAATGCTTTCTCCATTACAGACAAAGAGAGCCTGCTCACCGCAGAGAATCCAGGTATGGAGCCAGAGTTTGCCTGCTGGCAACACCTACGGATGTTTGAGGCCCAAGCTGAATGAGTAGAGACTGGGGACAAGCTAGGGACTGGTCACACAGGGGCTGAGGACAAGCAGAGACAGACAGAAGGGGATCCCTGAGCGCAGCCCCCCTCCTGGAGATTCACTCACCCTGCACCGTGCCCCAGGGATACTGCCGCGCCTTCACCATCTTGTTCCCTATCTTCAGTTCTTCTGTGCTGCCAATGACAGCAAACGGCAGGTGGGCCTGGAACGGGAGGCAGACAAAAGCTCTGAACTCCGGGGAAAGGCACTGAGCGACCCCCAGTTCAGCTGCTGGTCATCGCCGGGGCCTCGGCGCTCCAGCTGCAGTGTCCCTCGCTGTCGCCATTATCAAGAGACCTTTCTTAAGCTCCCGAGCCGTGTAGGGAGAATAGGCTTAGTCCAAGCTCCTGCTGTTCAGAAATTCACAATCGAAGGTAACAAGGACACGGCCGAGTGCGTAGGGAACAGAGACAGTAAGTAAGCAGGATAATAAGCAGATACGCAGATCAGCCAGCTGGTCAGTCTTCACAGTTGCCGAGGGGAAGAGCCTTTGGAGCGCAGGTGAGTGGGATGAGGGGGGCTATGTGTGGAGAGAGACTAAAGGAGAACCAAGGGGCTGGGATCACTGCCCCCCCTTCCCGGCGTGTGACAGCGCCGAGAATAGGCACATACAGAGACCACACTGCTGACTGAGATGGACGCTCCTTCCCCAGAGCAAGAGCTCGCATTGAGCTCTTGAGCCTAGAAGTCAAGTCCCCAAGCATTTACCCACGTGCCCATCCCTGTGCGGGGTTCTGTGTCAGGGGCTGTAAGGGAAGCAAAAGGAGTAGAAGACACACTCTCTCGCCCTCGGGGAGCTTACACTCTGGTTGGGGAAGACTGAATTACATACCCCAAATCACATAAGACAGAATATGCCCAAGGGCTCAAGTGTATGGTCTGGTGCCCTGCACACAGTAGGTGCTTAATAAATACTCCTTGAATGGCAGTGGCACGACCACAGGAATAGCAGAGGAAAGAAAAGTACAAATGCTCGCAGGGGAGGGGGGTAACAAGGAGCGAGGCCTGGAGGAGAGGCAGCCACCCCCATCTGGTAGCGTGGGACCTGGGACACCGGCACTACACCCCATTCCACAGGGAGCCGGCCAGGTTATAAGTCTGAGTCACCACCGGCCAAATGGAAGCACTGAATAAATACTGTTTACAAACCAGGTGATCCTGGGTGGAGTTTTAGCCAAAAGGGCTTTACACAGAGAAGGAAAAAGTCCACTGGAACAAGCTTTCTTAGCCTGCTTGGAGAAACAGGCTTCAATCTCAGATATTCTGACCCACTTGCTCACTCATCCAGTCTACAAATATTTACTGAGCTCCTACTATGTGCCAGGCATTAAGAAGAATACAACGCCGAAAAAGCTCAGAGCCTCCCCCTGGCGAGTGCACAGTGTGGTAGGGGAAAGACGCACCAACAGTGATAATACAGTCAAGGTCCAGACTATGAACAGAGGCTTGAGGGCTGGAGGAACTCAGAGGAAGGAGAAGCTAATTCCGTGGGAAGTCAAAGCAGGCTTCACAGAGTAGGTAGTAGCAATCGTACTAACGGGATTGGGAGCTATGGACCTGATATTAGCAGCAGCTCTGTTTCCCACATACCAGGTGCTCTACGTTGTATTATCTCACTGAATCTTTACAACACTAGGATGTAGGTATTCTTATTATCCCCATTTTATAGAAGAGGAAATTGAAATCCGGAAGGGCTAAATGACTTGCCAGCAGCCACACCGCAGTAAGAGGCAGAGCTAGGGGCGGAATCCAGGTCTCTCTGACTTCAAAGCCCACCCCTGCTGGTCTACCACTCCCTTTTGGGGGGTTCGAGCAGCAGATGAGGGGAACACTCTAAACCCTGGGGGTGAACTGGCCATGCAAGGCCAGATTGTAAGAGGCAGTTGAAATCTGATCTCACAGCCAATCCTTCCTTTCCATTCTCCTCTAACTCTGCACCCCAAGAATGTTCTTCAGAGTGGAGGAACACAGGCGTTAGTCAGGAGCTCAGCCCCAGGACACCTGCTAACCCCCCGAGGTGCTTGGCTATCCAGCTGAAGCAGCTCCCCCTTCACCCCCTCTCAGCTGCTCTCCAATGATCCTCTCAGGTGTTCCCACTTCAATGACTGTCCCCGAAGTGCGGACAGAGGACAGAGGGAAAGATGAGGTTATGGATATGGAAGGTGGGTGATGGGTGGAGGTGGGAAATGTTTCATCAGTCCTAGTAGGGGACCGATCACGAGGATCACTGGGCGTGCGACATATAGAGCATGGGATGGGGGGCAATGAAATCCTGAAAACTCTGCCTAAGTGCCAGAGCGTCTGTGACCTCTGCCAGCTGGCTTTGCGGGGGGGGGGGGGGGGTCATCTGGACACAACTCATTCCCCCTCAGAGACCCAAGACACATCGGGAGCCTCAAATCCACCCCCAAACACTCTCAAGGAAAAGGCTGCCCCTCCTGCAGACAGCCCAAAGCTTCAGTCACACGAAGGGGCAGCCATAGCAGAGGGCGAGACCGAGGGAGGAGATGTTGCATCATTCTCACGCATCCTGGGCTCTCGGCTGAAAGTGATGGAGGAGGAGGGCATGTGAAGTGGGAAGTACTTCTCTGGGCTTAAGAGCAAAAAAAAGAAAACAAAATCCAAGACGAGAATAAAGGAATTAAAAAAAAAAAAATGTCAGTATTCCCTTGGGACTGTTATTTTTCTCTCCAGAAAACATTGTTAGTTAGAATGCCAGGGTCAGTTACTTTCCCTCCTCCTTAAACTGCTGTCATTTTATCCCTCCCTGCTCTAAGACACACAGCCCCTGCCACGGCAGCTCCAGAGCGCTCCTGAGGCCTCACACACACTCCTTTGCAACTGGCGTCAAAGTCTGTCCTGATAAGTACATGCAAGGATATCATTTCCAAGTGCTCCCAGGCAGATTTCATTCGATTCTACAACAGGCTTACAGGGCGGTTAGTATAAACCCCATTCGTGATTTGGAAAACTGGTGCAGAGAAAAGTTAACCGAGTTGCCCAGGTCCCTAAGTCCCGTGCCCAGATCTTCCCAGGGAGCAGTGAGGACACCGCGCTGTAGCCGCCAGCCTCTCCCAACCACCCAGGGCTGGAAGTCAGCTCAGCTTTAACCATGCTGCTCTTGAGACACTGATGGCTCTGAAAACCAGAATAGAGTCGAGCAGAGCAGGGAAAAGGTAAACCCTCCAACCAACCCCACCTCCAGGGCTGACACTCTGTATGTGTGGGCCCAGGGAGGAGAGGGGAGATGCAAGACGGCGCAGCTGCTGAAACCTGGACAAGTTCCTAAGGGGACTCCGTGTTACCCTCTCTCGCCCAAGAGACCTCGGATGCCCCAGTCTCAGCCTCCTCCCGGGAGTCTGTTCCCAGACTCACTACCCTTGCAGCCTCATATGTACCTTAAATTCCTCTCGGTACATTTTAAAGTGTTTGATGATCCAACTGGCATGATTATTGTATTCTGGTTCCACGACACCCATTCTGCTAGGGAGGTTAGATGACCATCCCCCTAAGCCTCGTGAAATAGAGTGTCAGGACCACCGTTTATCCCTCATCTGGTAATATCCCGAATGGGTGTGGTTTCCTCCCAGGCGGACAGTATTTCCCAGTCGTTCTGCCGGTTATGCTGGCCTCCATTCTAGGCTCCTACCAGTGACCGAGAATTGTCTGATTCTCTCAAGTCAACCCTTGGTGGTGATGCCCACAAAAGTATGTGCCAACAATGGAAATGGCACTGCTGCCTCAGGAGGAGACAGGCTTGTGCCTATGGGTCTCCCTGTGACCCTCCCGGTCACCCATGCGCTCTCACTGGGCCCAAATGCCTTTGCGGGGGCCAAACCCAAGACCTCATAGGCAGCCAACTGACTGAGCCGAGTCGAGTAACTGGGCCTAGTCCCTGGTCCCTGGCCATGATTTGAAGCATTCAAAGAACAACATTCAATCTGAACCACACAGCAATTTTAAGCATTAAAATCTACAACCTTGAGAGCTCTCAGAGCATAGGTGGAAAGGAGCACGCAACAAGACCTTTCCCTCCCTTCTCTTGCCCCTCAAGCTGAAATAAGGGTTTTCAGAGCCACCCAGAAGCCCAGGGGAAGGCTAGACCTCACGACTCTCATTTCCTGCCATGAAAGTCCCTGGTGGGGAGCTGCAGGATGACTGGGGGCTCTTCTGCACTTGGGCAAGAGGCTTCTTCCCCTCTTCCAATCCAGTTCCCATGACAATTGGCTGGGGTGGCCGAGGCTGTGAGGCTAGAGTCAAATTCAGAATTGAAAGGCCAGCACCCATTCCTCCTACCAGCCAAGCCCGGCTCTCTGATGATGCAGCTTCATATGCACGGCTTGTCCGAAGACCCAGTTTGACACAGTTGCTCCAGTGGCAGGCAGGCTCAGCAAACCTGTGTATATATTTTATAGCAGCAACTCCCCACCCTTCCCCCATCACGACACATGTAACACACAGCGTTCACATGCACGCCCCCTCCCGTGCACATGCCCAGTTCAGGCACGCTAGCTGTGAGCCACCCGTCTTTCCCACTCAAAAAAGCCTGGGGGAACGCAAGGGGATGAGTGCTGAGTGATGCTGTTATAGGGCTAACCCGGAACCCACTCAAATTTAGTTTTTCTAAGTGAAACACTGGACTAATGTAAGAAAGGACCCAGAACCCCTTCACAGCCAAAACAGCATGGTTGAGGACTGCTGCTTCATAGCACGGGAAGTTTCTGACCTTGAGGCCAAGGCTGCCCGAGCTCCAAGCAAGGGCCCAGAGCTAAGTCGAGAGCAGAGCCCAACGGGATTGCCACTCCCGACCCACAATGCAGCCAGAGGTCGTTTTGTGTGATGCCCTGAGATTGCTGAGGACTCTTCGCCCCTATCTGTCCTTAGCAAAGCAAGCCACAAGCCTGAAAGCTGCCTAGTGACTTATGGAATCCACGTTCAGAAGGTATCTATGGGGCCTGCTGTTCTGAGGTGACTAGGCGCTTCCAGACATCAGTGCCTGATGACGCTTCTCTCTAGGCTCCAATTTTCTTGCAGACTAGGCACCCTTTCAGGTTTTCTCATCATGACAGAAGCTAGTTTCCATCAAAACGCCCTGACTGCTGGAGAGGATAAACACTAATCTTTTTTTTTTTAATGCTCATGACGGGTCAGAGAGGCTACAACTCCACCTCCCACAATCCACACAGCTCTACCCTTGAGCCAGATTTCTGTCAAAGATGATGAGGGACCTCTCATCACAGACATATCTCGGGTGTATTGATGGGCAGGAAGTCAGGCGAGACAGTGACTTGCTGCCCCGCTATGCTAATTTGTTGGCCGATTCATAGGAGGTGGCAGCTGACGCTCTAATGATAACTTCGGGGGTGGCGGCAGCAGGAAAGTTTTCTAAAAATGGCTTTTATTACAAGGCATTCCTGAGTTTGGCTATACCCAGGCATTATGTCATTAGGAAAAACTGATGCCTCTCAACAGAGAAAAAGAAATCTGTTCCCAAAGCAGAGGCCTTCTGCAAGCTATTATCTGTCTCCTTGAAATCACAACATTGACGATTTCGCGGCAACAGCGTCGACACATTGTAAAGAAGGGGGAATGCGGGAGTGAGAGGAAAGATGGCAAGCGGTTGGTTGTGGTTTTTTTCTTCAATTCATTCACACTTCATAAAGCAGAGCGTAACCCTGAAATTTAAAAATAACATTTCTCTAGTCACCAGAAAAATTGGAGGCTACATGTCCCAGGGGCAAAGGGCTTGATTATCTGAGTACAGATTAGCCTCGAGTCTCCAAAGCCAGCCAGCTTTTTCAGCCTTGCCTTCTTTCGCCGCATCAATTGGTCAGAGACAAGGACCGTTTGCCTTGCCGGCAGTCCCATGGGGGCTGCCTGGCCTAGACCAGTGTGGCATCAGAGAGGAGGGTGGAAGGAGAGGTCTGAATCCCTGAGACTCGGATAATGAAAGTTGACTACACTGGATGGTGACGTCTGACTGCTATTTGGTAAAATAATAATAAAGAGCAAATGGCCAGAAAGTTGAAGCCCTGTACTCCCACTCACGTTCATGGTTCCGTTGATCTCTGCCACCGCCTCATCGTCTGTAGGAAACTGGTAGATCTGGACTCCATTGCTGACAAGCTCGCTGGTGATTTTGATTTTGAACTTTGTTAGCTCGCTCTTAGAAATGGCATCTGATTTGGCAATGATGGGGATGACGTTTACCTAGAGAAGGGAGGAGCAAAGCGGCGTCATTGTTGGTAATCTGCAGCTGATAGCGGCACAACCTAGGACTTCTACCAGCTACCAGAGGGAGCAGCTCAACACAGTAGTCCAGGACTGGCCACCTCCATGGCCAAACAGCAATATAATATACGACAATGAGTGCTTACTGTTTGCTGGGCACTGAACTAAGTGCTTTACAAGAATTAACACAATTAACCCTGACAAAAAACCCTCCCAGGAGGTATTAGTACCACAATGAGAAACTGAGGCACAGAGAGGCTAAGGAGCTTGTCCAAGGCCACAGAGCAGGTAAGTAACAGAACTGGGATCCACATCCAAGTTTAGCCTTATTCCTAAGTCCACGGTCTTAACCTGCCAGCTCAGATCCAAACTGATGAGCTATGTGATATCTTAATATCAAGGGAACTGCTTGGGTGATTTGAAGCACAAAGATGAGAGTTGGGAATCGACAGTGGACAAGGGGAGAGGTGGCAACTCCTTGCTAACAGTAAATTGTCCCAGCCCATCGGCGCAGGCTAGCCCCAGCCAGTATGAAAGGAACCACATGCGAAGGGAAGAAGGGCAGGGCTCTGTGAAGATGCACACCTGGCCCTCTTTCTGGCAGCAAACACTGATGAACCTACCCACTTACGTGATGATGACCCTGTGTTACCAATTTGATCTGAGACTTAGCCAAAAAGAGTTATACTGCCAGAGTCTCATGATTAATTTCTGCATAAAGAAAGCAGGTACAGGGCTTCCCTGGTGGCGCAGTGGTTGGGAGTCCGCCTGCCGATGCAGGGGACGCGGGTTTGTGCCCCGGTCCGGGAGGATCCCGCATGCCGCGGAGCGGCTGGGCCCGTGAGCCGTGGCCGCTGAGCCTGTGCGTCTGGAGCCTGTGCTCCGCAACGGGAGAGGCCACGGCAGTGAGGGGCCCGCGTACCGCAAAAAAAAAAAAAAAGAAAGTAGGTACAAATGCCCAATTTTGGACAGCAGGAGAAAAGACTGATGCTACCCAAAGTTCAATCCACCTGAACCTCAATCCTTGAAATACCTCCAAGAAGTGACAAGGCTTTTACTGCTGGAGGGTAAAGAAACCTACATGCCTGAGTGAGACACAGCACAGCTAAGCTCAAGTTCACACAGAAAGTACAGTTGGTCCTGCCAGCAGACTCCAATGGGCTGGCATGGATGGTACTTGGGCCCTGAAAAGAGCTCTAGACTTAAGACAAATCCCACCTCCTTTGCTCTTTGCCTCAGGAGCGCCTCTCAAGGCTGACACTGCAGCTTCAGGTGCTGGTCAAAGAAAGACTGCACCTTGGAGGTACCTCCCTTAAAGCCTTGGGGCGTGGGGACCGAAGCCCTTGGCAAGGTGGCAACACTTTTCGCCACGTCCCCCACTGGCACGTTGTAAACACAGGCCTACCTAACTCAGCTCTTCCGCCAGGCTGCCAGCCGCATCACTCTGCTACCCTCTTCAAGACATGCAGGATGTGGCGACACTTCCCAAGCGGCCCGTTACTCGTGGGCAGTGAACTCACTGCTGTGAAAAACGAAAAACTGCTCCTATTTCGATGCTAGCTGAAACTCCGTTTTTATAGTGAATGTGCTACTAAACAACTGCATATAAAGTAGATTTTTTTTTGTAAAATAAATTCCCTGGAGTCAGAGAGAGCTCGGTCTGAATCCCAGACCCATTACAAGTTGTCTGACCTGGAGCAAGCTACTTGACTGTGCCTCAGTTTCCTCCTGTGTAAAATGGGGATAATAATAGTACCCACCACACTGGATTATTGGAAGGAGGAAATAAAAACAATGCCTATAAAGTACTCATCACAGTGCCAGACACATATGAAATGTTAGGGGAGGAAACGTACTAGTAATTAGGCTTTTTAAAGAATCCTGTGGTCAGGCTTCCCTGGTGGCACAGTGGTTGAGAGTCTGCCTGCCGATGCAGGGGACACGGGTTCGTGCCCCGGTCCGGGAAGATCCCACATGCCGCAGAGCGGCTGGGCCCGTGAGCCATGGCCGCTGAGCCTACGCATCCGGAGCCTGTGCTCCGCAACGGGAGAGGCCACAACAGTGAGAGGCCCACGTACCGCAAAAAAAAAAAAAGAAAAGAAAAAAAAAGAATCCTGTGGTCGACTCTTCTGCACAGCCAATAATTCTTTAACGTGAAGAATCACTGTCTAATTTATATTGGATGTGGGACTTGCATTTTTCAGTTTATCTTAAAGCAGGATGTGCCTGATTCCCACAGCCATCTTCCTTGGGTATGGAGGCAATATAACCTGGTGCCACAGATCTGAGTTCAAATCTAGGCTCTGCCAGGAGCTGGCTATATGACAATGGGCATGTCACTTAACCTCTTAGAGCCTCAGTTTTCTCTTCTATAAAATGGGAGGTAATGATAGTGTTTGCCTTACCGAGTTGTTGTGAAGATTCAATGAGATACTCCATGAGGTACTTTTACAGTGGTGACATATAATAAGGGTTTAAAAAATGTTAGCTGCTATGATAAAATTATTATTGATAATAAGAATAGTAACTTTTGAAGTCAAGTTTGCATGTTTGATTCGAGTAAAGGTCAGTTAACATCAGGACAAAGGAAAAACACCTTTGCATCGCCAAAGCCTAAGGCCCTAGACCCAGACAGCCGTCCTGCTTGCATCCACCTTTATTCCCAAGAGGGATCAGGGCAGAAAGACAGCTCAGGGGAGACTCATGCCCAGTGCTGGGAAAACATCGCAAAGCATACAACTCAGGTGCTGGGTCAATCAACACCATCTTTATGGAGGGACAGGGAATGAAGGGAAGGATGAAGATGCCACAAAACCTCTCCTGAGCTCTGGCATCTGCATTGCACAAGAGACCAGCAGGAGGGAGCCCAGCTTGCCCTGCCTCCCGCCTGCCCTGGTCCCTGCCTCCCAGGCCTCGGTACCTTACTGTCCAGCTTCTTCATCGTCACTAGGTCCAGAGACTTCAAGGAATGACCCGTGGGGGCAATGAAGTACAAGCAGGCGTGGATGCGGGAATCATGGTAGTTGTGCAGTAACCTGCGAATCTTCAGCTCCTCCTGCAGGTAGGCCTCAAATTGGGCGTCGATGAATTCCACAATGGGCCTGTAGCTAAAGGAGAGAGTAGGGGAATGGCCAGACCACTTCAAAAACCTGCATTTTGATAGGCTTCGAAACTCTTTTAGAAGTTGCAAATGTCCTTGGTAATCCGACTCTCCCCATCCAGCTGGATTTCTCCATCTCCTCTCAGTGGGGCCTCCAACTCCGTCAGACTGGCCACCTCTTTGGTCCCCACGTGAGCCAACCATATGCCTGTCGGCGCGCTCTCTCTAGAATACGCATTTCTCTCTTCTCATCCCAATCCTGCCCTCCCAGGCCTCAGGGCTTGGATGAATGCCCATCTCCTCCACAATTCCCCAGTTATGCCAGAAATCCCTTCTGTGACCCAGGAGTGTGAAAAAGAATTATGCTATTGGATCGCTTACTGTTGCTTCACAAGGATTAGTGTTCCCTCAAATAGACTGTGTCCTTGTGAAGGGCAGGGACAGTGAAGGGCCCTTCTCTGCCCCCATGGGGCCCCGATGCAGTGTGGAGCCCACTGGCAGTATCTGTGGATGGGCTGACTGCACACCAGGCTGGGCTCATGTCTCCACTTCCTGCGTCTCCCCCGCAGTGCCTAATACTCAAGCTGGTACCCAGTGGTGGTCAGGACCTCTCCTTGACCCATTGCTGGGGAATCTTCCAGAACACAGTGGGTTCTGCTCAATCTTCCTGGGTTCGAGGCGCTCCCCACTTGGCTCCCCTAAGGTCCAGATATTTTTCCAGTTCTCATTTCCTCTAAGGTCATGACTTTAAAATCTACGTATTCGGACAAAATTTGGTAAAGATAGTCCCGCCTGCACAACCTTAACACATGTGTGCGCGCGCGCGCACACACACACACACACACACACACACTCCACACGCCCCACCCCCCAGCTCACTGAGTCTCCAGGCACGGCGCTCCCGTTTGGCTCCAAGTCTTGCTGGGAGTCTCCTATCTGTCCTGGGAAGCTTCTCTGTTCTCTCCCAGGCCATTCCTGCCACCCCTGCAGCCTCTTCCTGCTCTAGCTAGGTCATCTTAGCCTCCGCCCTGCCTCTGTTCTCATCTCCCTGTCTGTCAGCTGCCCCTCCCTCCAGGGCTTCTCCCTTCAGGCTGGAAGAGGTTTAGCATCCGGCCCGGGACAGGGAGTCTGCAGAGACCACTGTGGGAAGGGAACACGATTGAAGGAGGAGCAGCAGCTCCCGCCGTGAGCCTTTTTGAAAGATCCCCCTAGTAGAGAAGGCAAAAGAGCTTTTTTAAAAAGAATCACAGAATTCTAGATTCTGAGAGCTACATACAGAGAGCGCCAGATGCTGGGTACCTCTGGAGCCTCAGAGAAAAATCTAAAAATATAGTCCTTTCTTTTTCCTTTGACCCCATGAGTCAAACAATTGTTCTGAAGGGTAAGAGCATCAAAGAATCTGTTGGTTGCAGAGATCCTTAGAAGGTTCCTGAAGAATCAGGAGTGGGGGCGGGGGGATACATCCCTTAGGTTTATCCAATTAATTTTCAGGTGACAGGCTTACTTGAGTGATCTAATTATGGCACTGCTACATTTTTTCCCTCCATTACATAACTTTTTTACTTCATTTTTTTTTTCTTTTTTGCGGTACGCGGGCCTCTCACTGTTGTGGCCTCTCCCATTGCGGAGCACAGGCTCCGGATGCGCAGGCTCGGCGGCCATGGCTCATGGGCCCAGCCGCTCCGCCGCATGTGGGATCTTCCCGGACCGGGGCACAAACCCGCGCGCGTCCCCTGCATCGGCAGGCGGACTCCCAACCACTGCGCCACCAGGGAAGCCCCTGGACCATCTTTTGTTGTCATTCTACACATCACATGCCCGTTAGCCCTGCGTGGTCCTGGTCACTCCCATGGCCTCAGTTATCACTGTCTCCTATCTGCTTCCTAGACACCCGGAAGTCATCCCAGTCTCCTTCTCCCACGTGCCAGTCCTCAGTGCAAACGCAGCTGTCAGAAGCTCCCCTGCTAGAAACCCAGAAGGCCTGGTCACAGACATTATACTTGAACAGCACCATCTCAGCCATCAAAGCCAAGATACCATAAGGTCAGGTCTACCGGAACAGTGCCCAGAGTGACAACACCTAATCTACTCCATCCTTCCAGCCACCTCTTCCCTCTATGCTCACTGCTATTCCACTCTCTCCTCATGGACTCATCACCCCTCAAAAATGTGTCCACTGTGCGCTCTGAAACCCCTGAACCATGGTAAACAAAACTGCCTACCTCTTTGCCACTCAGAGTGTGGTCCCTGAATAGGCAGCACTGTGGTCACCTGAAAGCTTGTTAGAAATCAAGACTCTCCAGTCCCCAACCCAGACCTACAGGATCAGAATCTACATCTTAGTAAGAGCCTCAGTGGCTTGTATGCAACTTTAAAGTTTGAGAAGTGCTGGCCTATATCATCTTTCTCTTCACAGAACTTGCCTTACCTCTTCACACTACTGGTAACCCAATTCTCCCCTGAGGACCCTGCAACCCTGAGGATCCCGCAACCCTGAGGACCCCATTGCCTGGCAGCCCCCTCCTATGCAGGCTTCTTTTTTTTTGGCTGTGCTGGGTCTTCGTTGCTGCGTGCGGGCTTTCTCTAGTTGTGGCGAACGGGGGCTACTCTTCGCTGCAGTGCGCGGGCTTCTCATTGCAGTGGTTTCTCTTGTTGTGGAGCATGGGGTCTAGGCGCGCGGGCTTCAGTAGTTGTGGCGTGCAGGCTCAGTAGTTGTGGCTCACGGGCTCTAGAGCACAGGCTCAGTAGTTGTGGTGCACGGGCTTAGTTGCTCCGCAGCATGTGGGACCTTCCCGGACCAGGGATCGAACCCGTATCCCTTGCATTGGCAGGCGGATACTTAACCACTGCGCCACCAGGGAAGCCCCCTGTGTAGGCTTCTTATTCTCCCACAACCTGTGTACATTGGGCTCAGTGTGTGGGCATTCAGGTAGCCCCTCAGCGCCACTTCTAGGGCGTTACTCCTCTACCTCAGTGTAAAAAACTGTCTCCGTTTTGAGGCCTGTTCCATCCTCTTCTGGTGGTGCCTGACCCCGTCCTCCCTGTTCTGGTGACTGCAATGTGCTTGAGGACAGGCCATCAACCTTCAGCCTCTTTATTCCTTGATCGCCTCAACTTCACCAACCTCCAGCTCCCTCTACTTCAGCCACCTACACATCAAAGCATTTGCCAGGCCAGCTTCACCCAAGACAGCTTCTAACGCCCCACTATCTGACCACCACTGCACAACTTCCCAGCTCTCCTATGCTTTCAGTCTGCCTAAACCTGATCTTTCACCTCATAGAATCCTCTGGTACCTTGACCTCTCCGTTATCTCACAGGATACCAACCCCCTCCTGGCCTCATCTCCTTCTCGGCCCAGGCTGACCCCCATAACTGATTGTCCAAAACGCTCTTTTATCGGCTCATCTCCCACCACACCCCTGCTTTCTACCCTCCCTGCCTAGCAAACCTGCTGGGCGGAATAAATTTCAGGATCTGCTTTCTGCTCCTACACCACTGCTGCTGAAGTTGACTCGAAGCAATCACAAAACTTTGGGTCCTGGGGACTTCCCCGGTGGTCCAGTGGGTAAGGCTCTGCGCTCCCAATGCAGGGGGCCCGGGTTCGATCCCTGGTCAGGGAATTAGATCCCACGTGCATGCCACAACTGAAACCCAACGCTGCCAAAATAAATAAATAAATAAATATTAAACAAACAAACAAACAAAAACCTTTGGGTCTTGGTACCCAAATTCCTGGCCTCCAACCTCATTATAGGCCTTTAAAACAGCACGACAATCCTTTTGCCCGGCCTTGATTGGCTCCATTCCTACTGCTTTCATTGACCATGCCAAACTTTCAACACTTTCCTCAAGCTTCAGAACTTATTCACGACCCCTTCCCTCTCACAAGAGGGTATTATCTTCTACTTTATCAACAAAATCAAGGTCACCAGGCTCACACTGCCCCAACCCACCTCACTCCCTCCCCTTCCCTGTTCCCCTCTGGTCTCTGAGGATGAAGGGTCCCTCATCCTGTTCAAGGTCCACCATCCCTTGTGTACTTGATCTTATTTCTTTCAGGCTCTTTGAGAACCTGGCTTCATCTATCAGCTCCTCACCTACTACTGACTACTCCCTCCCCGCAACCTATAAACAGGCTTAAGTCTCCCCTCATCTCAAAAAAAAAAAAAAGATCTGGGCTTCCCTGGTGGCACAGTGGTTGAGAGTCCGCCTGCCGATGCAGGGGACACGGGTTCGTGCCCCGGTCCGGGAAGATCCCACATGCCGCGGAGTGGCTGGGCCTGTGAGCCATGGTCGCTGAGCCTGCGTGTCTGGAGCCTGTGCTCCGCAACGGGAGAGGCCACAACAGTGAGAGGCCCGCGTACCGCAAAACAACAACAACAACGACCAAAAAGAAAGATCTTTCCACAGCCCAGTCCTCCTCAACCACACATTTCTCCCCAACTACTGCCCTGTGTCTTTTCTTCCCTTAGCAGTCAAGTTTCTTTTCTGCACCTACCACAGGGTCTGGCATGTAACAGGTGCCCAATAAATATTTAATGCATGGATGGAGTAGATGAAAGAATAATCTACTCATTTATTTATTTTTACTTCTCGTTCATTCCTCAACGCACTGTAGACTGTTTTCCACCTTCACCAGCATCCTAGTTGAAACCTTCAATGGATACTTTGGGGTTTTTTTTGTTGTTGTTGTTGTTTGAAGTATAGTTGATCTACAATGTTGTGTTAATTTCAGGTGTACAGCAAAGTGATTCAGTTATACTGTATATCTTCTTTTTCAGATTCTTTTCCATAATAGGTTATTACAAGATATTGAACATAGTTCCCTGTGCTATACAGTAGGTCCTTGTTGTTTATTTTGTCTATAGTAGTGTGTATCTGTTAATCCCAACCTCCTAATTTAGCCCTCCCCCGCTTCCCCCTTTGGTAACCATAAGTTTGTTTTCTATGTCTGTGGGTTGGATACTTCGGGTTTTAAATGATGAAAAGTTAGAGGTGTTTATT